GAGTTTACGAGTGAAGTGCTTCCTGGGGAGGTAGTAAACAAGGCCAGATAGTCTCACTGTACCAGCAGAGGGCTTAGCCTTTTCCTGAATTCTGAATTGTTTCGGAATACATGATGGCAGGCAAAGAACGGGGCCAGATACAGGGAACCTGGTCAATGTGATGGTAGGAACTTATGAAAGTTTCTGCTGATTGCTGGTAATTTCTCCATGAAATTAGAACCCATGTCCTTAGCTTAGAGTGAGAATGAGAGAGAAGTTGAACATTCGAGGAGAATTGAGAATGTAGGAAATAATTGTGTAGGAGGCTAGAAGGAGTGGGCCAGGAAAATGTGAGGCATGATGGTTGAGCAGCACCAGCACCGTGAGATGTTCATGCTCAGAAGTTTAGAGACCAGTAAGCACGGTAGTGTGTTTTCTCCAGCCACGTTCAGCTGCGTGTCTCACCAGAGGAAGCAGAAAGTTAAATTTAACTAAAGGTAGAGTCATGGTGTCTTAGAGAGTGGGGAGTATCTACAGAGGAGTGAGTAGCCACGGAATTTAAACTGGGTGAAGAAGGACGTGAGAGCACACGGGGGTGGGGTGGGGGGAAGGCACAAGTAAGTGAGGATAGTGAAAGTAGGTTGAAGGGTTATTAAATTGTAGCTCCTCTTTGGGGGTAGAATCACAAACTAGGTACTAGATAGAGGAAACTTGATGAGATGTGGTGGTCAGCGAGTGGAATGTTTAAAATTGAAACTAGAGAGGGTGACAGTTGGAATGACAAGGTCTGCTGTGTGACGAGGGAACAAGCTACTAAGATAGGAGAGGGCCAGATTATCACAGTGGAGGGGAGGTCGAACTGAATAGCCAGGTGTTGGAATGATCATCTGCATAGATAGTAAACCTACCAAGATTTACAGCAGGGGTGATGTGGGAAGGATAGCAACGGTGAGCCTAGACGTTAACATCTTTAAGGAACCAGGACAAATGACCAGCCAGGAAGTAGATAAGGGTATAAGTCTAGTGAGATTTATAAGATGGAGAGATTTAGAAAAAAAAAATAGCTCAGAAGAGGCCATGAGGGGCTATCAGGGGAGCTACCCCAGCTCCAAGTCCCTCAGTGTGAGGGCTGTGGAAAGCGAACAGCCAGTTCTGAAGAGGGTTGTAAGGAAAGCTGCAGTGTAAGGAGAGAACCAAGTTTCAGTTATAGCTAGAAAGTACAGTAAGGACTGTCAGTGGAGTTCCAGAGGATACAATGGAAAGAGTTCAAGAATTGAGGAAAGGCGAGAGTTAGGGTTTACAAAGGATTATATGTAGTGCAGAACCAAATGTTCTTCTGTCAGGACTTTCTCCTTTTCAAACATTTCTCAGAAGATATCAACACTTCCCTTGTCTTAGACGTTCTTCTCTATATTCACTGTCCTCTCCTAGCCAGGCTGTAAACCAGAGTATTGTTTTACAGTCTGTTGCTGCTGTTGATTCCAAATAGCTCCTGTGGACTAGCACTCACGGAGAGTCCAGCCTTGTCATTTCCTTGGTGCCCTCCCAGACCTAGAGCAGGCGTGGTCTCTGTGAGATTTATAACAATTCCCCAAAGGGGGAAAGAAAAGGAATTGACATTTGAGTGTCTATATACGTAATACTCCTTATATGTTCTCACTAATGTCCTTGACAATCCTGTCAAGTAAGTGTGATTATTCTAAATTTTAGATGAGGACAGGGAGTGTCAGTGATGCTGAGTAGCCTGCCCAAGACGACCCAGCCAGCAACTGATGAAACTGGAGCTAAGTCCACGTCTGGCTCCAGAACTTGAGTTCTGTGTGTTATACCACATAATCTTCCTCCCAGAAGGGCTTCGTGAGGCAAAAATCATCTGTACAGGGGTGTTCTCACTCTAAATTTAGGCACCAAAACAGTTGTATGTGAATTTGGGACTCTTATCAAGGTTGGGCTACCTTCATTTCCTCCAAGTGGGGAGTAACCCCTGGGTTTTTACTATTACTAGGTTTTAACAGGGGCTGGGGGTTGAAAGGTACCGTATCTGTCTTTCTTCTTCACCACTCAAGAAGTAGGCTTTTGAAGATCATATGTGTCTCACTCCAGAATGTAAATAATTGATGTTTTATTTGCTTATTTTTGTCATCCCATTATCAGCTTAATGTCCAAATACTGTTAATATGTGGAGCTCAGTTTAGAAGATTTTAATTCTGATTCACATTGCTGTTTCTCTGATAGTTCAAGCTTGCCTTTCTCACTCCAATCTTGATATCTGGTAGAGAATTTTTGACACAGGGAAGAGTTCAGCTCCTGACTGTGGTACATGTATGGCCTTCAGCAAACCACTGGAACTCTCTGAACCAAAGTGGGTTACTTTATCTGTAAAAGAGGGGAAGTACTACTTATCTCTTGGACTTATGAAGATAAAGAAGATAACGTAGGAGCTCAATATAAACTTATTTAATGGACCTATCGATATTGATATTCTGGTAAAAATACTACAAATTTGAGCAAGCCTTTTTGTGGAAAGAAAATGTACCATTTAATAGTTTGTATTGGTATGCAGAGTTTATATTATAGATCACCTTACTTGCCAAATTAGGGAATCTGTAAAATGGGTTAGTATTGCAGTAAAAGTTTTTGCTCTACACTAATAGGGTGATTAAAACCACAATGTTATTATCACATTGCCATATATTCAGTAAAAAAGAATTAATGCAGCTTTCATTGCCTCAGGAAGTTTAACAAGAAATTTAATTTGTGTCAATTTGCCCAAAACTTAGGAAGCAAGTATACTGTTTTAGAATTTGGTTCGATAAGAGGGAAGCTAATATTTTATAAGATGCTTCTCTATATAAATTTAGATTCCTCTATCATCTACTTCCTTCAAGCAATCAAAAAACTCCCCATGAGAGTCATAAAAATTGGATCAATGTCAGGTGCTTCGTGTCAATTGGGTGCTGACAGACTCTGTAGAAGTCAGGAATTTTTATGAGACGTAGCGTCCTTAGTGTGCCTGTACATTGCCATCTATAAAGGAAAGAGTGATGTAATTCAAGGCAGGTGATAACCTAGTTTCAAATTTGGGCTTTTCCAGTTACTGAATGCAAGGTCTGAAGCAAGATCTTACTTGGGAATAAAAATAACTAAGGGGTTTTTCATGTTAATTGAATGAGATAATGTGTATGAAAATATTTTCTGTATTATGTTGATGAAGATTAAGGAATCATTATTTTGCCCTATAATGATTGAAAGATGTCAGTAAAGACAGTATGATTAGGTATCTCACACCATGTTTCTAGGCAATCTCCATCATTTCTTTTTTCTTTTGTGACAGTGTCTTACTTTGTCACCCTGGGTTGAGTGCTGTCATGTCATAGCTCACAGCAACCTCAAACTCTTGAGCAATTGTCTTGCTTCAGCCTACCAAGTAGCTGGGTCTATAGGTGCCTGCCACAACACCCAGCTATTTTTTTAGAGATGGAGTCTCGCTCTTGCTCGGGCTGGTCTTGAACTCCTGAGCCCAGGTGATCTACCTGCCTTGGCCTCCCAGAGTGCTAGAATTATGAGAGTGAGCCACCATGCTCCACCCCATCATTTCTCTTCTACCAGACTGGAAGGCATGCAGGTCTTTGTGAGAAAATTATGCTCTTTATGGACATGGCAAAGAAAAGCTGGTAACTAACTACATCTTCATTGATTCAGAATATTTTCTTATTAGAGTGAGCTGCATAGAAAGTTTCAGTGATAATGTGTAGGCTCAATTAGAATTGTCCAAGGAATGATCCACCTGAGCCATGAGCACAAAAAGGTGAAAGGACCTTCCAGAACTTCCCTGACCTCAGCTTTTATAACTACATGGAAACCGAAGCTTAGAAAGGACAGTTACAATTACATTTTAAAACAAATTTCAGTTGTAATTTACTGTCCATAAAGACTAAGAAACACTTGCTGAATACTGCATACAAGAAAATATTCTTCCAGTCATAGCCTCTGAGTTAAATCTTTAGTTCTTGTGTACCAGTTTTAATGCCACAAGTGAAGGTGAGAAACAGAGTAGCCATGTCTCCCTTCAGAGAGAAAGACCAACCTTCACAAAGGATCTGTTAAATTTGTTTGAACCAGGGTAACACTGCAAAAGAATGATCTGGTGGGACCAGGCCTTGGCACCCACTGGGACAGAGAGCCAGCATCACGTCTGGTGTCTGTTATCCAGTTAAGAGAGTTTTCACTATGCTTTGCTCCTGACAGGTCCAATCCCATCCCCAGTTTCAGTCCCGGGCTTTAGGAATAATGACATCCAAGATAAACTCCTCCCCCCCCACCCCCAACCCCGCAGTTTTTGGTTGGGGCAGGTTTGAACCCGCCACCTCCAGTATATGGGGCTGGTGCCCTACTTCTTTGAGCCACAGGCGCCACCCACCAAGATAAATTTTTCACGAGGTTCCTTCCCTATAAGTTCAGCCACAGAAATAAGTAGACATTTACAAGGATAACAAAGAAACGCTTTGTTAGATCTGGCTCTTTCGAGTATAGTGGGTCCTTTCTCATCTTGATCTTTCCTTTATGCAGTTCTCAAACCAAAGTGAAGATGACACAACCCTGCTTCTATCATTATAATATGTCTTATGCCACTATTTCACTTTTTAAAATGTTCTGGAAGATCTTAAAAATTGATCTTACATGTAACTTTGTAGGACTACAACATTTATTCCTAATGTCCAGTGTTATCTAGGCTTTGCCATATTTGCCATATTAAAAGAACCCTGCCTTTATGTTGTGTGACGGTCAATAATTGTTCCATTTATATTGTTTAGCCCCTAACCCCAACATCAGAGACATTTACAGGACTCCTCCAGGGGACACCTTTGTCACATATTTTCATTTTTTTTAGAATCTTAAATGGGGCCCTCCTTTGAACAGTATAGGAGATGAATTCTAATGCCACACAGAAGAACATATGTAGAGATATTTCTCCAGGTTTGTGTTTGTTTGTTTATTTATTTATTTTTAAATCTATACAGGCAACAGCCTCAGATTCCAATCACCACAGGAACAGGTGTTGTGTATCCTGGTGCTATCACTATGGCAACTACCACACCATCGCCTCAGATGACATCTGACTGCTCTAGCACCTCAGCCAGCCCAGAGCCCAGCCTCCCCGTCATCCAGAGCACTTATGGTATGAAGACAGATGGCGGAAGCCTAGCTGGAAATGAAATGATTAATGGAGAGGATGAAATGGAAATGTATGACGACTATGAAGATGACCCCAAATCAGACTATAGCAGTGAAAATGAGGCCCCGGAGGCTGTCAGTGCCAACTGAGGAGTTTTGTTTGCTGAATTAAAATACTCTGACATTTCACCCCACCCCCAACAAAAAGTTCTTAAAGAGCCCGCATGCATTTGTGGCTCCACAATTACATCAGCAGAATGGTCTTAATTGTTTCATAAAGTGTGAGACAGATTAAGTTTTCCCTGATTTTTTTTCATGAACTTGAGTTGTTTTTTTTTTTTTTTTGTCGTTGTTGTTGTTGTTGTTGTTGTTTTAATTTAGGTGAAGACATATTAAATATGAGACACCAGGACTTGAAAACTTATCTCAACCCATAGCTGTCTTACAAGTCTTATATTTTTGTCTTACTTTTTTTTTTCCTTTGGATGTGGATAAAGGTTTAAGTTACTGTTTTAGATGGGGTTATACATTCTCACTCAGGTATGCTGTGCCGGCCTACAGGTTGTGAATGTGTTTTTATTCTGAATTATTTTAGAAAACAACTGAGGATTTCATATTGTAAAACAGAACAAGTCCACAGCGTGTGCAGCTTCATGTAGAGCATATTCAAAAGGCCTCGGAATTCCATTTCTCCATGTGTAGAGTTAAACTTTGAATGTGCCAAACTTTTTCGTAACTTTTGAATCTTAATATTTTGAAAGTCTTAAAGAAGACACTGCAAAGTCTTAGACAATCTTTGGCATCTTAAAATAAAATAGCAAACCAACTTTTTTTTTCCAGAAAATGGTAGAGTACTCAGGAATCTGGAGAGAAGATATTGTAAGGAATGAACAAGGTTGCCACAGTGCATGTACCCAGTCGTGTTCGCCTCTTGACGTGCCATCAGTGTGTGACGGAGTGTGATGATGCACACACGCCAGAGCGGTCACCACGCCAGATACTGACCTGGTGGTCTTCTCTGCCTGAGGCCACCTCTCACTACACCCATTATCCCTTTGCCTTTAGCCCTGACATTCAGTCTTAACACATTTTTCTCTTAAATAATTTATTCATTCCAGAATGTCAAGGGTCTGCGTACTATTTATTTTTAAAAAATTGTTGGTGGCATTAATTTAATAATTCTTATTTTTTACCTTCCTTCCCGAAGAAATTTTTAGCCCTTCTCACCTCCTTCTCCTGCTAGATACAAAAGATGTACATAGTGATTTTATGTCCCTAGGGCATCTGGAAACATTTCTGAAACCAAGATACTATTGAATACCTATATATTATTGTTTTTAAACATGAGTGTATATCTGGCTGCAGGGCTGTGTATTTGGATAGAGGTGTGTAGTCTTACACTTAAACAAGTCTGCCCCTGAGGTTCACTGTGACCTTGAGTCTTTTGCCAGAATTTCCCCTTAATTCACTTCAGCACAAGTGGTAGGGTCTGCGTCAGTGGTATCTCCCCCTGAATTCCATTCAGCAGCGAGATCAGCAGTGGTGACTGCCAGGCAGGACTGTCCTGCAGCCAAACCTGAAGCCCAGAATTTATGGGCCAGGTATGAGTCTACAGTGAAGCTGTCATGGGCTGGCACCTCTACACTGAGTTGCCTTGTCCCAGCTGGCACATCCGGGGAGTTCTTTGCAGAATCCCCAGGATGCAAGAGGCCGTTTAGCAGCCTCAATGCAAAGATAGAGGCAAATAGTCCTAATAAATCCAGAGAATGGAAGAAAACCTTAGGGAAGGAGAAGGGGGGAAATACATTCCCTGTATTGGATGTTCCTACTGTTAACTCTGGGGCAGCAGATGAGTTCCTCTGGCTGACTCCCTGTATCTGTGGCTGCACGGGCACAGGCCTACGTGTGAACAAGATGAACTGCACTTGTCACACAAGGAGTTCTCTGGACATGTGCTGCTGCTGAGCTGGGAGGCAGTGAGGTTTCATCCTCCATCTCCTAACTACAGGGAGCTCTGCCATGCCACGTTGACCCTCCTAAACCAGGACTGGTTGCCTATGGGGGGTTGCACCGAGAGTGGCTCAATGGGAGAATGTCAGTGGATGGGACAACCCAGAATCTGATCACCAGGACATAGGAACGGCCCCATCAGATTTCTTGAGCCATTTTGACACTTGGAAGAAAATAGTGTACCTTCATATTTATTTAAAGAGTGCTCAAGGCCATATCTAATAGCAATAAATAGGTCTAGCCAAGATATTACCACCTATGCTGTTAGCTGGGAGTACTCTCTATAAGCTGATTAAGGTACTGATAGGAATGTTTGTTCTTAATATTGGTTGGGGATTAGAACTTTGTTTTTGTACATTTATTTTAAATGAGGAGGAGGTCATTTTTCTTAAAAAAATGAGTATTTATTATTGTCTTACCGATATCCTTGATTATATACCTCTCCTCCTCAGCTCCTGCTCATGTTTTTTCTCTTCCTCTTTGGCTTTTGCTTTCGCGCTCTCTCCTTTTTATTTTGTTGCCTAGGTAGAGTGTTGTATGGCTAGCTTTGTATTGTATGTAATTAATTTTGCACAAAGGCAAACATTTAGCATAGTAGGTTAATTTTGTTTGTTTTTATGACCATGCCAAAATAATATTCTGGGCTGGTGGAGAACAAAGGACTGTTCTTTAGGACTGAAACTTGATTTTGCTCATAGTAAAAAAAAGAAAAAAAAAACAAAAAACACACACACTCACAGATGTTGTTTCGTAAGTGTTATAAGCACTGGATATAAATGGTATTTTTTATCACTTCTGACTAATGTGAAACTGTTGTACGAAAACTACATGAACAAAAGTCATCTGTTTCGACTCGTGTGGGCTTGCCTCACAGTTGCCGGATTTGAGTCATTTTTATGTCTTGTTATTTCATTTATTTATGCAAAATACATGTGTGTATGAACACTTTGTTTTAGCTCCAGCTCTGCCTCGGTACTGGGGTTCAGTTACTTCCAGCCATATTCTTAAAAAATGAAAAGCAATTCAGGAACGATCTGATTAGTAAATGTCTCTTTCATTGGATCAAACAGTAATGCTGTATTTGAATTTAAATTTTGCCTATAAGCAGTTTATTCTATTTATTAGCCAAGTTTGGCTCTAAACATCCATGGAAATTAAGAGTGACAATCATAGGGATCACTTCATTGTATTTTCAGTGGGGCTTAAACAAAGTTTTTATGACTTTACCATCTCATTTTAGATTTTTTAATTGTGTAAATATAACATAGAAATAGATTTTATTTTTGGGTCATGAATACTTAGATATAAGTTATGTATTTCCTGTTTGTTCTCTATCCATATATGTCGGTCCAAACTAGGAGTTGATGAGTCACTATTCCTCACAGGGACAGTGAATTTTCAGCTACAGTGAGAGAGCAGTGTTTGACCTGTCGCTGGGACAGCAGAATGCTTCACTGGGTTTCCCATGCCGTTCAGAACCCACTGCCGACAGACCCAAGACTTTTCCTTTTTTTCATAGAGAAAGTTGATGAATTGAACATAGTAAATTTACGGTACATCTAGGAGAGAGTCAATTTGCTTTGTGAATTCACATAACCTTCTAAGCTAGTTCTGTGACCATTTAATAGCATGAAGCATGAATACCATTATAAAGGCAAAAATCTGCCTCCGAGATTGGCCGTTAATAAAAGTCCCACCATACCAGTTAGATTAAAGAATGTTAAGCAACTCTTTTTTTTCAGTACTCCCTATTTCATAATGTCTTCAAATCAAAAATAAACATTATCCCCACGCTGTTAAAGAAATTACAGAATCAGGGTTTCGCCCCGTCACTTAGAATAGGGACACTAGCGGATAGTCCTCTCCTAAAATCATGGGCCATATGGAATAGGAAGGAAGAAAGGGAGGCCAAGAGAGGAGAAGGGAGCGAGGAAGGAAAGGCTGATCTGCAGACAGAGCAGCCAGCCCGTCTGTTTCTCTGTTTCATTGGCAGACGTGAGATGTGGGCAGTATCTTTTCCCGGGAAGGTACAGCAGCTTTGTTGCTTTCACTGCATATCTAGTTCAACCTTTTAGGAGCACGTCAGTTTGCTTCATTTGGTATTTGATACTCTCCAGCCTTGTCCTCAGGCCCGATTTGATTTGCCAGGGTCCTGGTAACAACTCGCAGGCCAAGTTCTATATTCAGGTGTGGGCTCACAGTGCTCTTGTGCTTCTCAAATTCTGGCCTTCCCTGAATGTCAGCTCTACAGAAGCCTAGGGGTGTTTGAAAAGGGCGTGATCGCTCTAGGGCTGAAATTCAAGGCTGCCTTTCTTTTTCTTCTGAAGCCGGGCTGCATCTTTGGAGCACACCCTCCTAAGCTGGGAGCATAGATTCTAGCGGAAAGCAGGGGTTGTTTGGGGGAGCCCATCTACCTTCAGATGGAAGGCAGCCTGGTCCCTTGAACATCACAGCTGAGGCCGCTTCTCTCAATTTACTCATTCTGCAAAGAGTTGGCCTCTCCCAACTCATCTGAGAAAGGAAAAAGAATCACTTAGTAGTTTTAAATTATATGAGAAGTCCTGTACCAAGTGCCAACAACTACAAAGAAATGCAGCTAAAGGAATGTATTGAAATTATTTCTGGGTCTTCCTTTTTAATGAGAAAATGACAAAAATGGTTTTTTGTAGCCTCGCCTGATTTTGTACACGTCTAAGGATCAAGTTGGCACTTAAGCTCACTTCTCTAAGTATAATAATATTGTATGACCTCATTTGTCCCTTTACAAAAGCACTTGCATCATTTCCTTAAGTCATCTGCTCCCTGACATGTTTTCTTCCTTAATAAACAACTTTTATCTGTTATTCCTGCCGATGATGTGCTGTTTCTGATGCTGTATCCTATTGAGCGTGCCCCCCACGCTTGTGCCCCCGTGCTAATATCATCGAAAATCTCGATATGCAAACACATTTCCTTTTCATCCCCATCCCATCTTTTCCTCTGGGGACAGATGGCTTTCCACAAGCTCCTGAACACGTATTGGGAAGGCTGGTACCGCCAGGGCAGAGGCAGAGTGGGTGGGAGGGGCAGCGAGGTAAGGCTTAGCGCAGATCCTCTTTTCAGTGGCAATATGAGAGCTGGAAGGCGACTCAGTGGCAGATCTTGCTCAGTAGTTTCTTATTCCTGAAGAACCACAAGCAGAAAGTAAGGCCTCAGTGCTGGTGCTCTTGGAGTATGGGGAATGTGCAAATATTTAACTGTCGTGT